GGCCGCTGGGCGGAGCAGCCGCGCCGGGGGGGCCTCCGGTGATGGCCGCATCTGCCGTTCCAGAGATCCAGAGCAAGCGCCAGGAGCGCAAGAGAAGAAGCACAGCCAACCCCGCCTACAGCGGCCCCCTGGAGGCAGAGGTGAGCGCCCGCCCTGCGGCTCTTCTCCCCGAGTCGCCACAGGCGGCCGGAGGCCCCAGAGCCGAGCTGTCTCCAGCGCCAGGACGCGGAGCGGAGCCCAGGCGGTGCCCGGCCCTGCAGGTCCAGACGCGGGGTGAGGAGCCTGCCGTAACACCCCATGTCCCGCCGGACGCCACAGCGCTGTGGAGGTGCAGGAGGCCCCGATGGGACAGTGAGCAGCGCAGCCCTCAGGGGCCTCCGGGTGCGGGGAGCCCGGCCCCCACCCCACCCCTGCACCTCTGCCGTGTCCTGCCCCTGCTGGAGGGTGTCCAGTGGGGCAGAGTCTCGGGGCCTGTTCACGGGGCGCAGCCCGGGGCAGTGGGCCGGGGGGGGCTCACCGGTGCCTTGTCTCCTGCCCTGCAGAGGAAGCGGCTGGCCCCCAACTATCTCAACACCCCGCTGGTCCTCACGGCCCGAGGTAAGCTCACGGGTCTGGCCTCTGGGGAGCAGGGTCCTCAGGGACTCTTGGCGCCCAGCCTGGACGGAGGCCGGCCTGGCCACAGGCGCGCTCCTCCAGTGCCGTGGGCCTGAGGACTGGCCTGCAGGCTGTGACCTGTGGCAGGAGACAGGCCGGTGGAGTGTGTGCCCACAGCACAGCGCTGGGGAGACACGCAGGCGGGGTCACGCATGGCCCCGAGCCCAGGCGCCCCCCTGTCCCACCCGGGGTGTGGTTCTGAGCACAGAATCAGGTCCCCTGGTGCCAAAGGCCGTTGTGGGGTCATCCTTGGGCTGACCCCTGTGGGAGTGAGGATGGTGTGTGGGAGTGGGGGTATCTCCCACCACCCCTCTCTGCCCCCGGCCATCTGCAGCCAGTGCCTCCTAGATGGGTCCTTCCTCTCCAGGGAAGAGAGCCCACTCCCAGCATGCCCCCGGGGAAGGCCCAGCTAGCACCATCATGGCCCCCTGATACTCCCAGCATGCTCAGGGGAGGGCCCAGCCAGCACGTCAAGGCCCGTGATACTCCCAGTATGCCCCAGGGGAGGTCCCAGCCAGCACCATCACTAGCCAGTGATACTCCCAGCATGCCCCCGGGGAAGGCCCAGCTAGCACCATCATGGCCCCCTGATACTCCCAGCATGCTCAAGGGAGGGCCCAGCCAGCACGTCAAGGCCCGTGATACTCCCAGCATGCTCAGGGGAGGTCCCAGCCAGCACCATCACTAGCCAGTGATACTCCCAGCATGCCCCATGGGAGGGCCCAGGCAGCACATCACGGCCCGTGATACTCTGAGCATGCTCAGGGGCGGGCCCAGCCAGCATGTCAAGGCTCGTGATAACTCCCAGCATGCCCCAGGGGAGGTTCCAGTCAGCACCATCACTAGCCAGTGATACTCCCAGCATGCCCCAGGGGAAGGCCCAGCTAGCACCATCATGGCCCCCTGATACTCCCAGCATGCCCCATGGGAGGGCCCGCCCAGGCAGCACATCAAGGCCCGTGATACTCCCAGTATGCCCCAGGGGAGGTCCCAGCCAGCACCATCACTAGCCAGTGATACTCCCAGCATACTCAGGGGAGGGCCCAGCCAGCACCATCCCTGGCCCATGATTCTCCAGCATGCCCCAGGGGAGGGCCCAGCCAGCACCATC